GAATGACAAAAATAGCCATACACCTGGCTCTGAGCTAAGTTACTTGAAAAACATCATTCCATTTAGAGCTCACAACAAGAAGTAGATACTATGACTGTTTCTTTTTACAATAGAAGCTTGAAGAGTTTAGGAATTAAGGCAGTCTCCAAAAGCTTAACACTTCCCCATGGATCTGCCATTCAACATACACACAGCATTACATCACACTGTCTGCACCACTAAAGTTCTTCAAGCATCTATGTTGGTCATGGTTAAAATCAACCCTCTACTGAACTACTTAAGATACTTAGCCACACAGTTGAAAATACAACCTATACCCTGCAAAATCATACTCATTTAAGCAGAGGTGGCAGCGCCTGGATCTATATTTATAGACAAAGAAGTACTTGTTTGCATTTTAGAAGGTATTTCTCTCGCGGAGAAAGTTAAAATTCTAACTCATTCCTTGTATCAAAATGACAGGGTATGTTGAATAATCGTCCAAATGTGTATTCAGCACTTATAATTCAAAGTATTTTTTTAAGATTTATTTTATTAATTTATGCATACAAGACCTGGGGTGAGGGCTAGAGGTGTGGGGAGGGATGAGAGGATTTACCAGAGACAGAGTGGGGAGCAGAACAGGAGGATCAACTGAAATACACTGCTGAGGGGAGCAGCGGGCCGGTCAGGAGAGCCCTGCTGTATCATATGGGTCAGCTCCCTGGTAAGGGACCAAACTTTAGTGCTTCAATGACTAATGATAATAACTTCATAGTGCTGAGACTTAACCCCTGTGGCACCAGGGAGGCCTCAAAGTGTTTTACAGGTTTGATTCCATTCAAGTCCATCCCTTTGCTGTAAGCACTACCACTCATTTTCATGTAACAGAGGAGGAAAGCGGCACACCACATAAAATCTGAATACCTTGTCCAATGATAAGGAGCCTGTAGCTTAGGACGGAAACCAAGCAGTCTGTGGTTAGTGTCTAAATAGGTATTAGTCCTTCAAGCTCTTCAGCATCCAAGGCTGACACAGTTTTACAGCAAGCCCGAATGCCTAGGTTCCACTACTAGAGCAGAGTTCTAACCTCAGGGTTTCATTCTCCCCTCTTCAAAGGACTACAGTTCCTCTGGCTCCTTTAGTTGCTCTAGCACTCCCAAGTCTCCTGCCTACTTCTGGGCCGTCCACCAATGAATCTACATTCTGCCTATCTGAACTCAGGGGGAACTTCTCCAGGAGTCCCGGTGTGCCCCCTCCTTTGTTCTCTGCACTCTCTAACGCACCACTGATGTTCACTGTAATTAAATCATTCTTGAACAATTATTTGTTTAATGTCTACCTCTCCTACTTGATTATAAACAGTAGCAGTTCCAGAATTTTTATCTATGTGGGGGGCAAGTAATCTGGTCCAGGGGCTTGGCTTACAGCACTTAGTATTTGATATAAGGCTGAGAAATAGCAATGACGTATAGAAATGAATGAGGGTGCCAATGAAGATTACAGAGGAAAGTATACCCACCCCAACCCTTCACTCATACCTTCAATCCAATCATTGTATCCCTATTAATTCTAAGCACTCTAAGAACAAAAATATCTGTCATCACTACAACCCCAACACCTGGCATTTTGCCTGACACACAGGAAGTACATAATATATATATATTTTTAGAATTAATAAATAATTAAAACAGAGCCTCTGACTTATCTGAAAAAGAGTGACGATAAAATCCAGAACTCAGCTATGCAGATTTTTAAAGTAAAATGACACATAAAAACATGCCACGCACAGGATCTGCACAGCAAGTACTCCATAAATGTCTGCCCTTGAATTGAATTCCTGACTCCTCTTGCTCCTCCTACTAACTTAGCTCCCAAGTTCTGGCAAGGCCAGGAGTGTAAAAGGAAACTCCAGAACTGAAGCCACTCTACTCTCCTAGCTACCATCTGGTAGCCCTTCATGTTGAGGTAAGGATAAAAGCCTGTAATTAACATGGGCAGGAAAGCCAGGCCTTTAAAATTGGCCTTTAGCAAGGAAGTTAGACCTGGGGGGGGGGATTGAGAATGAACAAAGTCAGATGAAGCAGGAAAAAAATCCAACACACATCTACTGGCTATAGGATCCTAAAGAATAAATGTGGAATCGCCAACCAGTTCAGGGGCAAATGTCAAGCATCCCCACCATCATTCATTCTGTCCCCTCACTCCCCCAACCACTGGCCCCTGGGCTGCCAGAGAGGTTAAAAACACAAGTCAGGGTGTTTCCTGACCCACCTTAAAACCCTTAATAGGGCAATATCTGTGCTCTCTCCAGGGCCACTTCAATCTCGTTGGCCAAGCTGTGGCCACAGTGGCCATGTCAGGCTTTTCCCTACACAGGGCCTCCATCTAGTCTCCTTCGGTTTGACTTGTCTCCACAAACTCCTTCAGGCTCACTCCGCTGTTTTCAGGGCTCAACTCATAATGACAAGCCCCCTCTCAGAGATACTCCTTTAAATCCAAATTAAATCAGCTCCTTATCTCATACCCATCCTATAGCCTTGAATCCCAGTTACTTAGCCCCCTTGCATTTATCCTAGATTCACATTGTATAGTCTGGGACTGTAAGCTTCACAAGGAAGGGGAGGGACTCTCACCAGAGTCCCCAGAGTTAGGGCAGGTCCTGGCACATTATAAATGAATGAATTCTCACACAGTTGCCCCAAACTCCTCTCTTTTGGTTCCCAGAATATGGTCCTCAGTGCCCTGCTAATTCCTCCTGGTTCAGGGCTAGGGGCTCTTCCATTGTCCCACAGTCCCACAAAGCTGGGACCTCCCAACTTCCTCTTTCAGAAAAGCTGAAAAAAATGGAACCCTGTGTGTCTCTTGGCTAATTCCTCTAAAAAAGGAAACAGGACACTGAAAACTCTCACTCTCCCACCCCCACCACCTTGATTTTCTTCCATAGCTTAGAAATGATTTATTTATTCAATTGTTTGAACAAGAACCATCAGCTAGCACTCACTGGAAAATTACTGCTTCAACCTTCCTTGTTTAACATGCTTAAATGACTTGCAAGAAATAGGTTTTTAGGTTTGTGAATCTAAGAAGGGGTGGTAGCAAAGCATAAAGAACTGGGATGCAAAAGTCTAGAAAATCAACACTACAATTTACTCTATCTTCCATTTACCAGGTGCAGGATTCTTGGCACCAATTTCTACATCTGACAAATGGGAATAATATCAGCCTTCAATACCAATAAAGGGACTTTCTGAACAAATGTAAGATACTCTATTGTCCTAATAAAGTCTTCCTCTTGGCTTTAGAAGAACATCTTGACCCTGAAAGGAGACTGAGATCCCCTAGGAGGGGGTCTGTTCTGCCTCCAGAACATAAATCACAGAGGAAGGTAGCCCAAAAGGCCACAAAGCCTTTTAGACGGGGACTCGGTGACCTTGGCCTCTGGTCTGGGTTTGCAAAATATTGCTTTGGCTTCCTGTCTCCAGCGCCCCAGCCCTAGCCCAAGGCCAGACCCCTGGCCTAGGCTGAAAAGTCTTTCAGTCGCTCCTCTGACTATATAGCCAAGTGCAGTGGTGGAGTGGGGGGGGATGGAGAGACAGTCTAACAACCCTCGGGTGAAACCAGAACACCAGCAAGACTAACCTTACAGGGATTCAGGCCCAAGTCCAGTTCTTATCTCCCCAATCAAAGCTCCCCCCCTCCACCCCGGACTCCCCGGAGGCTATGGCCTCCTCTGTTCCTGGGCGGAGCTGGGCCTGCTGCGAGGGCTCTCCGCCTTCCCGGAGTCAGCTCTAATGGCGGGGGCTTTTCTTTTCACCGGCCTAGCCAGATGAGCTCCCCCCTCCCCTCCGTCATTAACTGCAAAGAAAAGATCCCCGGCCATTTCCATTTCCTCTGCGGCTCAAGAGCCCTGTTGTTATTTAATCCCGTGGCCACCCCGGCAGCATCCTCTACGCTGCCGGCTCCACCCATCCACCTGGACAGTCCTTGGTTTTTCCCACTGCTCCTGAGAGCTCTGGGGTGGCTGGGCAAGGAGGCCTAGCAGCAAAGGGCCGTGATTTTAAGTGGTCAGAGACTCCTCAGACTTGCGTCCCATACAGGCTGGGAAACGCAACGGGCTGAAGGAGAGCTGCTGGCCTGGGCGACAGAGTGCTGGCGGACACCGGCCACTGCTGACATTGCATGCGAATGGAGAGTTGGGGGTGGACGGAGAGCGGGGAGGAGGACACTACTAGGCGAGAACCAGGTCTCCTCCAGCAGGAGTAGCCAGCATCGCCCCGGGTGTTACCGGAGCCTGAAGAGGCCTCGGCCCTGTCGCTGTCCACACCCAAGAAATGGGGGGAGGGGTGGTCTGCATACACTCCTGGGAGATTCAGCCACTTGGATCCTGATTTATTCAGCAAGCCCCGCTCCGCCCTTTTTTGACAAGAATGTGTTTGACATTTTCTTAATTTTTTGGTAAGTAAACGTTGCTTCCAGACTCCTCCCCACGACGCCCTAATCTAGAGAAAGGGAAGGCATCCAGTATGGGTCTTCCGTCCCCACCCCACACAGCCTGTGACAAGTAGAGATCCCTACCTAGATCTAGGTGTGTCTTCCCCCAACCCAGTTCTCGGCCCAGATCCAGAGGCCGTAGAGCCTTCCACCCCCCAGCGACACTGACGGTTCCAGCCCAGACCCGGAGTGGCATGAAGGTGGCCTTTACCTCCTCTCGCAGGCTGGGAGGGGGTAACAGCCCGCGCAGCTGAGCCAGCTGCTGCAGTCGCCGCCGCCCTCCATTCATTAAAAAAAAAAAAAAAAAAAAAGCCAACAACAACCAACAACCTCCACCCCTCTTTGTAAAAGAACGACGGCTCTAAAAGCCAGTCCCAGCAATCACGGGTTAAGTTCTTTTCCGGCCCCCCATTCATAAAAAAAAAAGAGCGCGGCGCATGCGCGCGCGGGGTCTCTTGTGCCCACCCATTCATAGAATCGCGAAAGACGCGCGTGCGCACTGGAGCTCCCTTCCCTCCCATTCATAAAAAAGCCATTTTCCCAGGCAGTGGTTGCAACATCGCCGCGGAGGCTGCGAGAGAAGCTGACAGCGCAGAGCTGGCGCTGCGGAGCGCAGGGAGCCGTGCCGGTTGCTCCGGCCGGCGTCTGCGAGGACATCGGCGTCTGACCTACTCAAATTCAGGGATATACACAGACGTGGAGCAATGCTTGTGACTCTGCAGCTCCTCAAAGTAAGTCTTTGGCCGGTTTCGGGATCCGAAACTGCCCCACTCTGAGCCGCGGCGCGACACCCCCTCCGGCTGGGGCAAATGGTGCGCTATTTCTAGGCGCGCCTCAGTGTTCCCTCGCTCTCTCTGCGCCTCCCTGAGCCTCTGCGGTGCGCCGCAGCTCCTTGACGCCCTCGGCTGGGCCGGCACGGCGCCTGGGGTGTTCACAGCCTGGCACCGGCGTTTCCGACCCCCCGGGCATTGCCAAGCCCGGCTTTCCAGTTCGGCCTTCTAGTTCTCTTCGACTCTGGAAGCCCCTTGCGTGTCCCGGGAGTCTGTCTGTGGCCTGGTCTCTTTACTCCTCCAGCCACTACCCTCTTTGGACGCTAGAACGGGTAGTTCTGGGCTCCGTGAGGAGCCACCTTTTGGGTCCGGCGGGCGCCCTCTCCCTGACGGGTTCACTCAATACCGGCCCGGTGCCCACCCTGTGAGCTCTGCCGTAGATCTCTAGCCCGCCGCAGCGGCCTATGCTCGACGTAGGTTTTTTCTTTAGCCTCTGGAGCAGGGACGAGCTGGATTTCTTCCCTTTCTGTCTCCCCTTCGATGGTAGGCGCAGGGCTGGCCCGGGACTGGACATTTCTTTTCCCTCTCTTTGACCAGGCGGCTTTTTGCCGTCTGACCTTTGCTCTGCTGCCGAATTTTATGCTATGCAACTGACTTGCAGTTGCCTTTCTCTTCTCTAGCCTCTGTAGGGCCTGAGGCTCCTTCGCCTCCTGTGTCTTCTATGCCCCTAGCTGTGTCAGGCCCTGGGGCCCCCAGCCGCGCTAAGGCTGTGGTGGCGGCTGAAGGTGCGGTTTACATAACGCCAGTCAAGTGGGAGCTGGAGGAAGAGGTTGCTTGCCTAGAAGAGATAAGGCTTCTGCTTTCCTTACTTCTTGTTGGTACCAAGCTTGACATCACCCGCGAGGAGAGGATAGAGACGGTACGTTCTGAAAATTCTTCATCGCCATGATCACGGGGGCACTAAGGGGGGCAAGGGCGGGTTTGACCAGTCTGGGCAGCTGGAGCTTGGCTCCATCACTAAGGCCAGGCTGTGCCCAGTTTCCCTTCCATGCAGACGATCAAAAAGCATTTAGACAGTAGCTGCTCTTGTGCAAGAGACGTTTCTCAATTCTCTTTGATTGGGGGCTGGGGGTTGTGGGCAGAGGAAGCAAGAGAGGCGAAAATGGTTGCATGGCATGAAAGACTGAGCGATAGTCCTTGTGAAAAAGGAATGGACCGGAGAGGACTTGCTGGTAAGCCAACGGGAAAGCTGCTGGCTGTCTCATTCACCAGCTGCTGGATGGGCATCCATATTGGCAGGCCTGGTTGAGGGCAGGAGGCTGCCTTCTGGCGTATGTTGGTTTGGGAAGCCCCCCAGCATGCTTAGTACTGAAAGGAAAAGGCATGATTTAATGGGGTGCCCAGACCCAGTGGGGATCTTCTTTTTCCTGCCTTCAAATCAGTGGCGTGATACTGCACTTTGAGGAGGGTCCCTGAGCAAGTGCATATCTAGTTAGCTGACCAAGGCTGCTTCAGTCTTTCTGGCCAGCTTCTCAGGGATCTGAAGCAGGAAGGTGAAGGAGGCCCAGAGCAGTTAGGAAATGTGGGTTTATCGATCTCTTAATAATCTTGGACTACCTTGAGGCCCCACGCAATATTGCAGTAGTGATTTCACAATGTTTAGAGTTTGCTGGATTTTCACAGAAATGGAGCTTACACATCTGAAATTTTAAGTTTTTCCTTAGCGTGTGGGTGTGGGGCGCCCACTAGTAGGGGTGAGGGGTGGGCTAGCACTTGGCCTCTTCCTCCTCTCAGCAGAATGGTGGGAAAGAAGTACTAGACATGTCCAGTGTGAAATCGAATTTCCTCTTTCCCAGCCCTTGGGAGGGTCCTTACTTGCCAGCAGGCTCCAGGCAATTCATAAGGTGAGCAAGTGCACACACTGACCAAGCGAGCTAGTAAAGTACCTGAGCATTTTGGTGGCAGATTTCTGAAATCTCAACATGCAGTGTTGGTCATTTAGTGCGAGGGAGACCAGAACAACATCTCTTAACTATCCTCCTTTTTAGATCTGAACTCAGGAGCTATCCCATACTCTTTGTAGAGTGGAAATGCCTTCCTGCACATTCCCACGACCTTTTCGAGATTACCCTTTGCAATAGCAACAACTCTTTAAAGCTTTGGTTGGGCTGGTGAGAGGACACAGAAAGTACAGAAAGAATCCTGGTTAAAACTGGGCAAAGGCTGGAGACTGGTGAGTTTTTAGAGCTCCCCAATGTCACATTTTGTCAATCCCCCCCTCCCTCATAGGCGGAGGGATGAGGCTTTCAGTAATTCTACCTCTTTCTGATTCATGTTGCTTACTCTAGAGCCTTGGCTGAGTTGAATGAAAAGTGAAGAAAAAAAAGTGCAAAAAATTAGAAAGTCAGTGATTTAAAAGTTCAAAAACCCCCATTGTTAATACCTGCAAAAGTGACCCATGAGATGTGTTCTGCTGCGGGGTTTAGCACTTTGGAGCAACTTGTGGGGCCTTCGCTTCTAACATCTGATGCTAAAAATCTCCTGTGACTTTTGTGCCTCCCCCCTACCCCCCCATTTGTCTTTCCTTCAGCCATCCTGTAGGGTAAGGCCCAGGTGCTGGTAGCAAGGAGGCTTAGGAGGACCTTCCTTTCTTTTAAAAGATAAGTTCAGTGTTCTTTAAGAGTGAGAATACTGAATTTAGTTCTGACTCCACAGTGCCTGTCATCCAGCCCCTACTGAGTTGTAAGTTCCCTGGTGAGGAAACCGTGCATAAAGCTATAGATTTGGGGATGTATAGTTAATAGTTTTGCATTTGGAGATGTGACATGACTATATTTAAGGGAAGGAGAAAGATGAATGCGTGCAGAAGGGATTACATCATGGCCAGCCCTGACAGAAGGGAAAGCAGTAACTCATTATAATTTATTTTAAAGAGCCAGAGGTAGAAAGTGATAAAGAGCAACATACTGAAAACTATATTGGCCCTTCAGATCAAGCCAGGGACCACTGCAGAGTAGATGAGTGACAATCAGCAAACCAGCTACCTTAGTCTTTCTGTCTGCAGAGAGGGAAAAAGAAACTTCTCCCAAGGGGGCAGGCCCATCATCAGCAGAGCAACTAGTGAGTGTCCAGGACTGGGCCTTGTTTCTACTGGACTCCTAGTAGAAAGCCCGGCTGGAAGGAGCCTCTTTCGGCACAGGAGGTATGGGGTGTTGAATGATGTAAGAGGCGGGATATTTTTGGCTCTCAAGGGTCTGGGGCCACCCTGCAGATCCGGACAGCTGACAAGGCTGGGGATGTATCCGGGACATGTGGCTGGGCTTAGGAGACTCCACTGTTCAGCTGCGACAGTGATTGTTCTTTCCAAGGACAGTCGGTGGAGGAAGCAAGGGCGCAGGAGAGGGAGCACAGATGTGCTGGTAGCAGAAGAGGGACGGGGTCCTTCTGGAGCAAGAGGCCATTCACGGAAGTTTCTCTTGTCTGCCAGTCTTTTTTTTTTTTTTTGGTTGGAGGGGGGAAGAGTCATTTCTACCCCTATATAGCAGAAAAGTAAGCTAAAATCAATTACTTAAGTTCATTTCTGGAGGGTGATGAGGTTATTTAAATGATCTTGGTGACAGTGGGAGGCCTTCCCCTAGAGGTCTAGGTTTCTCTGTACTTTCCTAGTAGTTCCCAAATTGTGCCAGTTGTTAACAGGTTTCTTTTAACTCTATTCTTTTTCTCCCTCTTTACTTCTAATCCCTTTTATAGGGAATCTGAGCAGACAGCCATTAAGGGTGTAATATATCACAGCTTGAATTTAAAGCTATCAGAATTGTCCAAAGCCAGGTATAGCTAAACTTCTGCTCACCCTTATGCTGGGACTTTGGGGTTCAGCTGATGGGTTGTGGAACAGGTAGAGGGTTGGGAACTGATAGCTGGTGATAGGACAAAGTGATGAGAAGCAGCTGTTTTCTTTTATGATGTCTGATAGATTTTTAGCCAGAGGTGAACTCCTTAGTGCTGGTGTGTGTGGGGGTGGGGAGGAGCAGCAAGGATGTTCACTCAAATCCAGCTGCCTAACTTGCTTTATTCTCCTGAGGGACCATTCTCAGCAGATTGTCTTCTGCTGTAGTGTGCAGGGAGCACAAATTCCTGACCCAGGCCTCCCCCCCACCCCCCAAGGTCTTTTTGAAGCAAATCCTTATGTGGTTGGAACTTAATTAACTAAACTGGGATGTTGTTACAACAAACCAAGTGGAAGGTGGTGGATAGCAATAGAGGTGGACCAGCTCCTCCCAGGTATCTTTTTGGCCAATTGTTACAGGGTTAAATAACCTTGACTGAAAGAACTGCTGAGACTGAATGAGTAGAGCCAAAACTGCCCATTCATTCAGAGCCTGTGGCCAGTTTGTCATTAGCTGACCTGTAGTTTTCAAAGTACAACTGCCAGGTTCTAATATTTCCCAACTTCTCTCCCCAGGGTGTAAGTACAGAGGAGGGGGTGGGGATGGGGTTATGGCATGGATATTTAACATGCCTCTATTCTCTTCAGCCAGGCTGTACTGAGCCATCTGCAGACTGATGCTCTGCTCTTCCCCAAATGCAGGGTCATACCTGCCAGCTCAGGCAACAAATACCAGGCTGTGTGGGGTAGGCTTTTCACTCCTGCTGATTCAGTGTTCTAGAACTTTCTTCTCTGGCTTCCTCTTACCGAGGCCTTGACCAGGCCTGCCTGACCACTAAGTTCAGCTTTCTGGGTGAGAGGAGAGGGGATTCTCTCCTCCTGAGGATTTCCTTTTGATGGTTTGCTTTGTTCTGAGATGTACCAGTGAGGCCCGTTCCAATTCTAAGAAAACGAAAAGTGAAAATTCTTAGTGTAAAGCAAAGGGAGTATGTGAGGTGACAGAAGAATGGCTAAGGAAATGGAATTGTAAGTGAAGATAACTTGAGTTTTGAGTTTTCCTTCCGAGATAGAGTGGAGGATGGGGGTTTGAAATCTATCTACACTGAAAATTCCCCTAACTGGGGCCAGGCTTGTGGAAGCTCTCTGGCTTCATTTCCCTGCTGGTTTGGTTGAGAGCCCAGGGAAGTTTTGATGAGGTTCCCTGAGGGCTGGTAGCCAACTGGGGAGACTGGAGGAGCTTAAAGACTGCAAGTGATTGGCGCTTTCATACCTTTCCTTGAATATGAAGACGTTATTGTAAGTCGGGGTGCAAACAGGAGCCTGTGCTACCTAGATTCCAGTTCTGCTCGCATCTTGCCAGCTCTAACTTTTTGTTCTTCCTTTGCAAAATGGGTGTGTTCCTCCAAGGTGTGTTCCTCCAAGATGATGGTGAGGGTTCAAGAAGAAAATCACTAAAGATTTAGTAGTCTGACACCAAGCAATGTTCTTTCATAAACAGCTGCTTCCATAAATGTTATTTATTATTATTTGAAGTCTTGAGTAGAGGTTAAAGTTCCCTTTCCTCATGCTAGTAGTTCATAAGACTGCCTCCTGAAACTCAATAGAGGTGCTTCTCTAGCTAAGTGGAGAGCTGATTTTCTCTGTCCACCAACCACGAAATTGACCATCAGTCTTCCACATAGCATAAATGAGGTGAAGCCTCCTCTCTCCTACTTAAATTATAAATGTCTTCCTTCCTTGCAAGGGAAGCAGAGAGCACGGACTGAACTGCACTTAAGTTGTGTCAGGATTGCTCAGACTAGAGGTTAGAGGGCTTGTAAACCCAGTGAGTAGAGATTGATTTTATAAAGCAGTGGAGGATGGTGGGTTTTTTGAGACTTCATTTAGCTGTGCTAAGGGCTTATCAAACAAGCTGCTCAGGAAGTTGTTTTTCTTTGTCAACGGGGCTCTTAGAGGGCCCTCCTGTGGAGAGAATCCCTGCTAATGGGGAGGAGGTGAGGCCTTGAAGGCGGTAAAGGTCGAAGCAGTGGAACTCTCAGCCAGAGAGTGGCTGGCTTTTGCTGAACTGGTGGCAGAAGGAATCCTGCATCAGGGTTATGACAGGGAAGATGCCTTTTAGAATATGCCTGCTGGAGCCATCTTGGATGCAGCATGACCCAAGAGAGCTGAGTCATCCTAGACCAAGCTCCAACCCCCTTGTCTGACTGACCCCCTCTACAGGCCCAGATGTTGACAGCTGCCTCTGGAGGAGGGTGATGGGAGCCTCCCAGTGCCAACTTCGCCACTGCCCGCAGGAGCTGCTCCCACACGGCATCCTGGTGGGATTTTTCCATGAATCTGTCTTCTGGTTCCCGGGCCTATTAAAATCCCTGAGCATTGTCCAGGCTGTGTGCTTCATCCACACACAAAAAAATGGGGCTTTTTAAAAAGAACCCTAGTAAGAGAATTGGGGAAAGGAAAGTGAATAATCTGCTCAGAGAAGGGGAGGATCCCTCACTTTCCCCACAGTGTGGCAAGTCCTGACCCTGGAACTATGAGACAAAGCCCAACTCTTGGGGGCAATCACACCTTCAAACTTAGGACATTTTGTTGGCAGCACTTTGAGTAATCATGACCTGAGCTTTAGGAACAAGGGAATCATGTTGTCTTTGTCCGGGGTGGGGGTTCTGGCTGAGACACCCCTTGGCTGGCGCCAGAGAGTCTTATCCTGTGCTTTTGTCAGCATTTTCCATTCTTATGCCTAGTCACACCTTATCCTCCAGGCAAAGTCCTAGGGCCTGGGCCCTGGGGCTCCCAAAACCCCATGTTTGCTGACCCCAAGCCCATTCATTGTAGAAGCAGGACTTTGGGATTTGGCTGAGATAGCCTTTCATGAAGTTCCTGTGGCCCATGGCCAATCTGGTCCTTGGAAAATACTCCGCTCATAGATGCTAATTTGATACCCCCCCCCCATCTTGGCTTGAGTACTTCTTGGTGGCAGACCTGCCAGACAGTTAGTTAGGGCAAACTCTGCCACTGCGAAGTCTCCCATTGCATTCAAAGTGATGCTCAATTCCAGTTGGAGGTGATGAGAAAGCAGGTGGTGCCACTAGACAGACTTTCTCCAAAATGGGAAAAACAGACATACCAGCATTTCAGCAGGTAAAATTTTGGGAGCAAAGCTAACAGTTCTTGCCCTGTGCCAGTGGGAAATATCAATTGGCTGAGAAATAAACCATACTTTTTGTATATTTCTCAGTAGAGGTGGTATACAGGTGAGAACCCTTATCTGGATAAGCTTTCTTTATGCCTTTTAAAGACTTTGTTATCTGGTGCTACCTGTTTATTTCATAAAGTCTCCAGAAAGCATCTAGGGAAACCTTTCCCAATTTTTGGACCTTTTCTGATTAAACTTCTTTCTAAGCAGGGGATGAAAAAGACGTGAGTACCTTGTTTCCCCTTCTCTATCCATTCTTTATTGTAGCTAGTGTAGATCCCTTGCTGGGGGGAGGGGGGGCGAGGCGACGTGTGGACTTCCTGTGATTGAAATGCTAGGATAGACAGCCTCTGTCCTGAATCTCAAAGGATACAGGATTAACTGGAAGTGGAAACCTATCCTTGGTCAAGCATGAAGGGACATGGTCACTCCTACTTAGAATGAATGTCATTAGTATCTTGGGAAAAGCATTTACTGAAAACCCCATTCCCAGACCCAGTAATGGCAATGTTTTTTTTTTTTCCTCATTTTTTAAGACAGTTATCTTTCTCTGTTCTAGGTCCCACCCCCCACACAGTGGTGGAATCTTCCCAGAGTCTAATCTTTCTCTTGGATTCTGAATCTCGTCCCCTTGGGCAGAGGTCTTGGCCTTCTGATGCTATTTCTTTAAATTGATCTCCAGCCGAATTCCGAATGTAAAGGTCAGCAGGCGAGGAAATGGCACTTCTAATAGAAAACAATGTGCACTTTCTAAATTTGAACCAAGCCGTTTCCGCTCTTTGATTTAAGTGACTTCCTGGGGTTCCATGTCAGGCACTGCAGTTGAATCTCTGGCCAGATTCCAACTTAAAATTGCACTCTCTCGGTGAAATTAGAAACTGATCCAGGGTTGGCTTAGCTATTCTAGTAAATAGCATTTAGACTGAATGTTCAGCTCAGCACTTGGAAATGGGTGATGTGAGTGCCCCTCGAGAGGATTTCCCATCCAAGTTGTCAGAAGTGCACCTACCCAGGGGTTATTAGCTGCGGAAGGTTGCTGCTCTTAGATGTGGTGGTAATAAGTTAATGTCCTGGAGTGCCGCGTCAGGTACATACAGCCCTCGCTTCTCTTGTGACTTATCTGAAATAAAAGCTTTTGTTTATCCAGCTGATAAACTCCAAAGGAGCACACAGGACTGTCTTTCGGGAGTCAGCACAAGAGTTGGCATGCAATGCTTATTAATGCTTGGGAAATCTCAACTTGCTCTCTGGGATGGTGATAAATGACTGAATGTTTGCTATGTGCCAGGCATGATGCTGGGTACTGGCCTTGCATTTTCTCATTCAGTTCCTACAAGAAGCCATTCAAGAGGTGATAAAACTAAGGCATTGATGGTAAACAACCTCAGGCATAGCAAGACTGCTAGGCAGAGGTGAGAATTCAGAACTTGGATCTGAGTCCAGGGCCTGTGTTTCTGTCCACTCGTCTGTAACAAGGAGCATGGTTCGTTCACAGGGTGGTGTGAATGAACTTGGGAATGAACAGGTTCAAGCCCTGGTTCTGTTACTGTGATAGTATTTTGTGACAAGTCACTGGATACTAGTTTTCTATAATTAGAAAAAGGATAGTAGTACTACTTGTGTTTTAGGGTTATTGTGAAGAGTCAATGAGACCTATATAGATGGTGCGTGCTTAGCAGAATGCCTGGCATGTATTCAGAGCTCAATAAATGTTATTTCTCAACAACTTGCTATTAAGGTTGCTGTCATACTAATCACCTTTCTAAATCTTGATGCTGGAGAGACCTGAGGGAATCTAGTTCCCATTTCAGGTGGGCTCCCCAAGGACATGATGGGGGCTGGGGGTGTCAACAGGACACATACTGATGCCTGGAATCCATTCTCTCTTCCTTTTCCCCACCTCCCCAGGGCCCCTAGAAGCCTGTTTTTCAGCGCTGTCCCGGACTTCCGGCCCCATGGAGCCCCCGATCCCACAGAGCGTCCCTTTGACTCCCAGCTCAGTCATGGTCCAGCCCCTTCTTGACAGCCGTGTGCCCCACAGTCGGCTCCAACACCCACTCACCATCCTACCCATCGACCAGATGAAGACCAGTCATGTGGAGAACGACTACATAGACAACCCCGGCCTGGTACCCTCCACCGGTCCCAAGCGGACCCGGGGCGGGGCCCCTGAACTGGCCCCGACACCCTCCCGCTGTGACCAGGATGTCACCCACCACTGGATCTCCTTCAGTGGGCGACCCAGCTCTGTGAGCAGCAGCAGCAGCACATCCTCCGACCAGCGCCTCCTAGACCACATGGCACCACCGCCTGTGGCCGACCAGGCCTCCCCGAGGGCTGTGCGCATCCAGCCCAAGGTGATCCACTGCAAGCCGCTGGACCTCAAGGGCCCGGTGCTGCCACCAGAACTGGACAAGCACTTCTTGCTGTGTGAGGCCTGTGGGAAGTGCAAGTGCAAGGAGTGTGCGTCCCCCCGGACGTTGCCCTCCTGCTGGGTCTGCAACCAGGAGTGCCTGTGCTCAGCCCAGACCTTAGTCAACTATGGCACCTGCATGTGCCTAGTGCAGGGCATCTTCTACCACTGCACCAACGAGGACGATGAGGGCTCCTGCGCTGACCACCCCTGCTCCTGTTCCCACTCAAACTGCTGCGCCCGCTGGTCCTTCATGGGCGCCCTTTCCCTGGTGCTGCCCTGCCTGCTCTGCTACCTGCCGGCCACTGGCTGTGTGAAGCTGGCCCAGCGTGGCTATGACCGCCTGCGCCGCCCCGGGTGCCGCTGCAAGCACACGAACAGCGTCATCTGCAAGGCAGCCACCGGAGATGCCAAGGCCAGCAGACCCGACAAGCCTTTCTGACGCTTTGGGTCGAGTCCCCTGCGCTCCCCCTGGAAACTTGGTTCCCTTCTGACACTTGAGAAGACCCGCAGCAATGCCAGAGGTTTCAGCCTCCTGAGGCTGACCTTGCTCTCTGCTATATCCCCAACCCCACCCCACCCCAGATTCTGAAGAAACAGACCGTCACCCACCCTCTAGTCCCAGAAGGATGAAGAAGCACTTTGGGTTGTGTTTTGTTTTTTTCAGGGTCCTGGAACTTTGTGTCAGACAGTGGCAGGGGTGTGCTGTGGTGGGGGGAAAGGGGGGAGAAGATTTTTCCTTTTCAGAAGACAGAACACAGATGTGGACACATCCGGAAGTTGCAGCTGCTTGAATTCCTTCCCAGCCTCTCCTCCTCCTCCCTCCCTTTCTCCCCCTTCTTTTCCATTCTCTTCGGCTGCCTGGGAGGAATCTTAACTTGCCAGGGGACCTTTGAAGAAGACCCTTGGAATCTTGCCCATCTCCCTCCACCCACCCCACAGTTTACCCCTGGCACCTTGGGGAGGTGTGGCCCCTGGCAACCCCTGTGTATATATATACTGGGCACCCTCTGAGAACAGCGGACGCCAGTGGGTCTCTGCTGCTTTCCTCGCTCTGCCTCCCTGGAGCCACGGACAGCACATCTCTCCCTTCCAGCTTCACTAACTCTTGGGGGTGTTCCACTCATAACACCGTCCTTCGGTTCTTACCGAGTCACAGGCTCACCTGCCCGCTAAGTATCCTGAGTTCTCTCTACCTTTCCTGAAAGTTTATGCGTAGAGAAGCCCAGGGCGGCAAATGCGAGACCAAATATCATTTTGCCAATGAGTCTGAGGCTGTGGTCTCTGGATCCAGTCATTATGTTTTTATAGAATAATTAAACCAGATGCTAACGGTGTTTTTAAAAAATAACAATAAAACACTTGCTTCCTTTTGGGCCACCCCCAGGAAGGGCTGATTTTAAAAATCTGGGGGTGAGCAACCTCAAGGAACATGACCCCCCTTTTCCCCACCAAGAAGAGGATTTAACAGCAAAGAAGAGAGGCAGCACCTCCCATTGGCAGAATGACAATTGAGCCGAGCCGGGTGTGGGTTTCTTCTCATCTGATTCTGCTGCTTGCTGTCATAGCCTTTTATGTACAGTGATGTGTTTGCATCTTTAATGTAAATAGACAGATGATGGGGGGAAAAGTCTATTTTAGTGTTAGGAAGTCCCAGTGGGGGAGTCGAGTGGGAGGGGGGGTTTCTGAGGGGCTTCCTGGAATTGAGCCCTACTTCTGTGCGTGGCCACAACACCCCCTCCTGACAGCCCCCAAAGTCGTAGCAACTCTCTTTCAAGGTGCTAAAGGACTCAGAAAGTGCAGCCCGTCCTGTGGGTAGGTACTTGTTGCATGCAAAAGCTGTAGTGTGTCTGGTCCTTCCTCCCTAGCTGTTGTGTGGGGGGTTTTGATTTGTGTGGTATTTTGTGTTCCCCCTCAAATGAGAGGAAGCTGCCTGGGTCAGAAAATTTCCCCCAGGTGAAACTGGAAGTGCATCAGGTGGAGGGAGCATTTGTAGCATTTCCAGTTCTGTCAGGACAGAACTGCCTCCAGGAAGGAGGCCCTGAGGCAGGTAGCTGTGATTGGCATGCACCCAATGCTTCTCAAGAACTTTTTTTTCCTTCCTGAAGACTAGTAATAACATCTTATGATTTAGCATAACTTAATTGTAACCATAGGTATTTATTGATTGGAGGACAGGAGGGGGGGGTCTTATTATTTTAGGCTTTATTTATATAACATTTGCTAGCTTGTAAAAGGCAAATATGAAATACTACATCTGCGTTTTCTAAGGCTGATTCACGTAGCTGCCCTTGCCATAGTGGTGAAGGATGTGTGGATGATCTTGCACAAATCGGAGGGAATGGTAGAAAAAACACATTCAGCCAACCACTTAACACTAATTGAATGTATCAGATGTGTACTGGAGGGACTGGAGATGTTTTCTTACAAGAAATGTGCAGAGGTTACCCCAAATGAGAGGGCGGGCACATGTCCACTCTTGGCAAGGCCTCAACTCTCCCCAGAACCCCTCCCTCAGATATCTCCACGGGAAATTTGACCCAGTGGCAAGTTGCACTTTGGTAATCTTGGTGTTCTACCTGCCCATTCAGTGGAGAATTGATTTACATAAGCTATGTATACACACACATACACACATACATCCCTGACCCCCACTAACGACATAGACCCCTTTTCCTGGCGAACAGCCTCTTGAACCCTGACTTTTCTTTTTGTGTACATAGTTGTAAACACGGATCTTTCTGGTTGTTTTTTTTTGTTTGTTTGTTTGTTTTGTTTTTTCCTGCCTCCCTGTTTTGGCTTGTTCTTTGGTTTGCTTTTAACCTGCTCGATGGATGTCAGCAGAACTCAGTGTCCCTTGTGCTCAGTGGAAAGGGAAAGGAGTGAAGCGGCGTGGGTTCTCCCAGCTCTGTTGCGTAGCAATCCCTCAGCATGTTTTTCTTGGCATCTTGGCAAAATACAAAAGAAAGTTGGCTTGCCCATGGACCCGAGGGGCCAGTCAAGGCCACTGAGGGACCAAGCTCTCAGAAACAGCACAGTTCTATGGCTGCTTGGGAATGGTTATATTTCCTGTTACCAGCGGCTCTAACTTGGCTAGATTTTGTCTTGTCTTGACCTTTTTTTTGAAAAGTGACAGTTTATTCCCATTTGTGGCTATCCGGGGGTGAGTGGCGATTCTTCTGCATCTAGGGCTGGGATCCACAAGCTGGGGTCCAGGACAGTGTTCCTAGGGTACCGTGGCTGCCCATCCTCACCCCACGGGAGGACTTAGGAAGGTTCAACACTCCAGCAAGTGCCCCCGGAACTCTGGGGCTGGGATAGATAATGGGGCACAAAAAAGACATTTCACAGCCTGTAGCGGGAAGGGAGGTGAAGAGCAATTCTTGCTGTTGAAATGGCCCCCTTAGCTGGTGGAGCTGAAAGACCTTCATGTGATATATCTGGTCTCTCGGCATCTGGAATCTGCATGGATCCCCAAGTGAGGCCCTGGGTTGCAGGACATGGAAAGCTGGTGGGGACCAGCATCTAGGTGCCATGTTCTCCCACACTACCCCAGGAGCTGTCTGGGGGTATGGGTGGCACAGCTTTGCACTGTACAGCTTCATGCCCTCTGCTTACTGTGACAGTTGGTGACAAATCTTGTACTGCCATTTTTTTGCTGTGGGTTACTCCATGCGGTGTCTTAAATCTTGCTTTCTCCTGTCACTGCCCCACAGTTTGGTTTCGTGTTACAAACAGAAAAGCTGTTCCAAGGTTCCCACCCCTCCACAGTCCTACTCCATTCCCCCCTTCATGGTAGCCCCTTTTCACCCTACAACAAAAGTTACCACAGAAGGTTTTCCTTTGTATAGAATATTTATTTTGAAGCTCTATTTTAATAGTATTTATTTTAGAAAGTCTACTATTGTAAGAGTTCTTCTGTTTGTGAAGAAAAAACAAGTTAAAAACTGAATGTACTGATCTAGAAAATATATATAAATATATATTGTTAAATATACACAGGATTGCCGTTTCTCATGTGTTTGTGTGTTTGCGCCCCGACATCCTCACCCAGCAATGCCCCCCCCCAAGTCTGTCGGGGTACACTTGCCAGATGGAACTACCCAAACTGGCAGCACAAAAGGGTGGGGAGAGAGCTTTTGGTCCTGCGGTCCCTTAATCTGCGTTCAGAATGACCCTGGATCCACTGGAGGAAACCTCAGGAAGCGAGTCCTGCCAGGGGAGATGAGAAAAACCACTCTGATCTGTCCTTTCTCAAAATCCCTGCAGGTCCTCCTTAATGCCCTGCTACCCTGAAAATAAGTGTGTGTGTGCATGTTTGAAGAAGGCAAATAACAAAGCTCTTAGTGGTTTTCAGACTATCAATAGAGTGGTGAATGTAGCACATCACCAATTTCTTTGACTTCTAGCCTTCGTCCAACTTAATGGGCCTGCTTTGCCTCCTAAGACACCTTCTCTCTGCTTCCCCTCGCATCACCCCTTAGATACACCCAAGCTTAGCTGAGACCCAGCCAACTTCACCTCTTCATTTTGCGTAGCTCGTAGGGGGCTCTTTCATTAGCTTTAGCTACTGACCCAATCATAATGAGTCCTGAATTTTCATTTTGAACATGATGTGAACACTTGCCTCTCTCTTTTTTTTTTTTTAAGATTTATTTATGCATCCAGAACCTGGGGTACAGGCCAGAAGTGCAAGGATAGTGAGAGGATTCATTAGAGACAGAGGGGAGCTGAACAGGCAGACCGAAGGGGTCTGCAGCGGGCGAGAGGAGAGGTCCCCTGTGCCATGTGGGTCACCACTCGCCAGGGATCCAACTCCTGCTGAAGCGGCTTTGGCTAGCTAAGCAGTGCTGTGCCTTATAATTTGCTACCAGGAAGGGCCCACTTGCCTCTTTTCTAAAGAAGAGGTACTGGGTAATAGTCAAGAATTTTTTCCTGTTACCAATAAAGTAGGGCAAAGACAGTCAACAATGAGGGCAGGGAGGTGAGGGGAGATGAGCTGGAGCCACTGATGTGGTGTCTTCTGACACTGAAAGCTATGGGTTCAAACCGGGACATCAGACATGCAAGGACCCTCAGGTCACTGCCCAAGAGGCACAGTTTTTTGGCTGTGCTTCCCCAACATGGTCTTGTGTGCTCTGAAACATTACAGACAGGCTTCACTTTTCCCTTTTGGCTGGTTCATGTTTTGTCCTGTCCCTATGTGAGAGTAGAGGGCTATTAATGCTCCAGAGTCTTCCTTCCCTGAGAAGGTAAGTAACTATTTCTTAGATCAGTGAATGCTTGGTGATTTCCCTAATCTGCTCAGTCCCTACTGTACTGTGTGCCAGGCTTGAGTCTGCTGATGAGTGGGAAAATGTAAAAAGCAACAAAAACATGTCTTGGGGACTTGGGAGAGAGTCTCACTACCCAGGAAGTGGTAACCAAATGCACATGCTTGCTTTTTCAACAAGTGTCCAGAGAGAATGTTCTACATATGCCTTACTTAGCTTTCTCTCCCAGACTATCCCTGTTTCTCTTGGTTTCCCTTTATGAAATGACTTTGAGATGATAAGAACTGTTAGCATTTTTGAACATACACGGCAGATGCCACTGTTAGCTCCCTATTCGAAATGCAGAAAGTGAGCTTCACAGTAGACACTGATACTGAAAACATCGTTGATGGGTTGTTGGAACAAAGCAGACAGTTGAAGTTTTAGCAACTCAAGTGGGGAAACCACAGGATGAACTAAGGCAGAATTTCACTCCTTTAACCCATAACCACACGTGTACCCCCTATGAAGGTATCTCAAACTGCAATTCATCCCTCAAGAACAAAGAGTCTGGGAGAGACCAAGCTGTGACAGCAGACACCTGGAACCCCTTGGGCAACTGTCATTCATCAAGAGGCCCTGAGGCTCTCCGTCAGCAGCCCCCCTCCCACCCCACCAGTCTGCTGAACTTACCCCTGGAAATGAGCTTGACTTTCCAAAGTACAGTTGTGAACTAATCAAATGAACCCAGGCAGCCGGGTCCACGCTAGAGGTGTGCCAGATGAAAGCCAAGAGGACATTTTTAAGAGCCTTAAGTTTATTCATTGGAACTTTAATAAAACAATATGTCCATGGCCTGGGGCAGGTATAATTTATGGGTCTCTGAGACAGGAAGAGAACGTGGGGGTTTTATTGTGTTTTGCACGATAAATGGCATTCCAATTGTCTACATGGTGTTCTTTAAGGACTCTTGTCTGGCAGGAACACAGGCCTTCTGGAGCCCACCTGGGCCTTGAGGCCTGAGGCAAAGGATAATTATGAATACATCTGTATCTGTTAAGCAGGAGATGATTGAAAAACTCCCTCGTTTCCTTCTGTCATTAGAAGACACTTCCTATGCTGACACCTATATTAACATTTAACTGTTGCAAGATTTGGAACACTCCCTGTTCCCTTCCTCTCCCACATTCTCCCTTGGGTCTGGCCTCTTTCTTGTACCTGAAGAGACTCAGGTTAAACTCACTGGTCACCGGCCTGTCAGGCTTGGTCAGAGAGGAAATGGCTTAGAATTCAGAACAAAAAATTCACCATCCATGAAGCAAGATAATGGAGCTTCAGAACTATTCACAAAGCAAGATAATGGAGCTTCAGACAATGCTTTAACTGGAATCAGTTGTCTGAATCCCTGCAGTTTTGTTGCAGTTTTGTTCCTATGAAGCCTTTATTGATACAAGAGGTCATGTGGCCATATGAAATAAAAGCAATGGTTTCCAAGAGTGGATTCAGCATTATCATTTACAATCTTGAAAACAACTGTTGTTGATATAATTATTCATTTTACAGAGGAGGAAACAGGCTCAGTGGTTGATTCACTTGCCCAAAACTACACAGCCTTTAGGCAATGGCCTTCCTCCAAAATCCTATGTGATACATGCCACTGTCCTAATTCTCAGATCCAACCCAAATTTTACCTCCCCTGGGGTGTATTCCTGTGTCCCCATGAAAAGTTTTCCTTCCCACTCGTTCTGGAAAGTAGGTGATGTGTTTTAACTAAGATACTTTACACTAACTGAGATGGGATTTGAACTGGGGTCTGACCACTGCCCCACAATACCACATAGAAAATACTCAGGCCCCATTTTCAAACTACTCTCAGGGAGCCAGCTCCTTTATCACCAAATGACAGTGTTCTTGGTTAGCTATCCTGATTGTGTCTGCCATCACAAAAGGAATTGCTTCCCCTGACCTAAGGAATTATTTGTCCACTACAAGAATTTCCTAGAGGAGAAAAGGGAGCTGTAAATTGCTTCAGAGAATTCAGAAATGGGATCTGGTGGTTTCATGGTGTGGGAGGAGGGGGTACGCACAGCAGCTGTGTGGGGAAAGATGTATACACTCGGTGAAAGGTACAGCCCACCTCTCCCTGTTCTTCGAGGGGCAAAGTCATGTTCGTCTTTGTGCTTGCCTTGGAGGAAATGGATGGGACATAGGTCAGACAGCCAACACAACAGGGGGGTGGTGGAGGGCAGTGGGGATACAGAGTGGGGGACATCCATGATACAAGCAGTGCTCCTCTTAACTCCCAGGACAACCTAGTGCTCCAGTCAGGCTTGGATTACTAAAGCATGCTGAGAGACAGGACTCTAATCAGATTAGTGAACCAATGTCTACCAAGAGAGGAGCAGTTCCAGGAGTAAGACAGCAGGATCTCAGGACTCTAAAAAGTGACTGCCGGGCCCTCCCTTCTAGGGCAACGGGTT